CCGCTCCCTCCTCGGACAGATCTCTCCCCACTTGTCGCAGCCCCTCCATGCCCCCCTCACCCGCCGCCCAGATCCCCCTCCCCCCCTTCACCCTCCAGCAGCATGCAGTCCTGCCCTCGATTATCCCATCCCCCTTCCTTGCCCCCTCCAGCCTCGAACCCCCGTTCTCGCCCTATTCTGCCTCCTCGCCCTTCCCCATCCCCAGCTTGTGTGACTTCAGCCCTCCCCACTGCCATCCCCACGCCCCGACCCTCCCTTATCCCCTCCCTAGTCTCAACCCTCCCCAACCGCCCTTTCATGCCCCCCTTATCCCATCCCTAATCCAATCCCCAATCCCATCCCTCCCTGATCCCATCCCTTCTCCCATCCCTTATCCCTTCGCTCATCCCATCCCTTCTCCCTTTCCTTATCCCACCCTTTATCCCATCCCCTGTCCTTTCGTGCCTTCCCTTACTTTCATCCCCAATCCCATCCCTCATCCCATCCCTACTCTCATCCCGATTCCCCTCCCTTATCCCTTCCCTAATCCCATCCCTCTCCCGCTGCTCTTTCTTGCCTTTCCCCCTCTCCCTAATCCCCCCCCCCCCCCACCCCACCGCTCTAACGCGTGGAGGAGGAGGGGGGGGAGCACCAGGAGCAGGAGGAGGAGGAGGAGGAGGAGAGGAGGAGCAGGAGGAGGAGAAGGAAGAGGACGTGGAGGAGAGGAGGGAGGAGAAGGAGGGCGCGGAGGAGAGGAGGAGGAGGAGGAGGAGGAGGATTTTTGTTGCTTACACGGCTTCGCACACTCATTTTAGCTCCTACTTGGATCCACATGTGTTCAGGGCACAAAGTGGTCACCAAACCCGGAGTGGCACCAGACCACCATATTTGTGGTTCTCCGAGAGGATCGCGCCGCATCGCCGATGCATCGGCTATGCGTCTCGACGTAGAGCCTGATATTCCCCACGCCAACGTCGCGGATGCGTCGCCGACGTCGCCGGCGTCGCCGATGCATCGCCAGTGCATCGCCGATGCATCGCCGATGTATCGGCGATGCGGCGCGATCCTCCGACCACGTCTACCCCGACCCCATCTAGGAGGCCTCTATCCATCTCTAGCTGATCGCGCAGGATGTTGGCCGACGTGACCTTCTTGCCGCCATGCTCGTGGAGCTGGCACGTGGCTTTCTCGTCCAAGGAGTCTGTCAGGTAGATCACTTCCCATCCTTTCTTGAGGATCTTGTCCATGTAGGGCGCCTCAGCCATGGAGACGCTACTCAGATTCGTGATGTAGTAGATGTCGCTCTGGCCTTCCATCGTGCGGTTCACGTACTCCTGCAGGTTCATCTTCGCGTCTTCTGTTCTTGAAGTGTGGTAGCGCTTGTCGTGGACCTGCATCGGCAACGCATGTTCGTTGAGTCCCTCCAAGGTCTTGGTGAAGAAGTGCACCTTCTCATCAAATGTCTCTCGAAGCTGGTGGAGCTGCACATGGATGGTTTCCCGCTCCAGCTGCTCGGAAAACTTTTGAAATGACACCAGCTTCTTCCCGTCGTACTTCTTGAGTTGCAGCACAGCTCGTTCTTGCATTGGGTCGGTGAGGAAGGTCACTTCTCACCCTATCTTGCGCATCTCACATCTCGCCCAGGGAGGGCTCGTCGGCCTCTGTCATGCTGATGTCCCTCGTGGTGTAGTAGATGTCGCTCTGACCCTCGATCGCGCGATTCACGTACTCCTTCAAGTTTATCTTCTCGTCTCCAGACCTCGACGTGTGGTAGCTGGTCTCGTGGAACCGCATCTGCTGGAACTCGTGCTCAGACCCCAGCTCACAGAACTCCTTGATCGACGTCAGCTTCTTGCCGTCGTACTTCTGGAGCTGCTTCCAGTCGTCCTCGTCCAAGGGATTCGTCAAGAAAATCACCTCCGAATCTTTCTCGCGCATTTGTTCAAAGAAGGCTCCTCAGCCACCGAGGTGCCGCTCACGCCCGTGATGTAGTAGATCTCGCTCTGGCCCGCAGCTATGTGGTTGACGTACTCCTGCAGGTTAATCATATCGTCTGCCGACTTCGACGTGTGGAAGCGATTCTCGTGGATCTGCATCCTCTGCTCCCCGTACGCGCTCATCGCATCGTAGATCCGTCGCTTCTCCACGACTTTCGTCTTCGCCTCCTCGCCCGCTGCATCGGGCGCAAGGTCGTCGAAGCCGATTCTTATAAGCAGGCCTTCTCCTGGGCGGGCGCCTCCCCGAAGAAGAGCAGTCCGTCGATGAGCCCTTCAACGACCCTTTCTGGTTGTGGATCGCCACCTCCGGGCCGTCCCGCTTCACCACCGCGAGCACCTTTTTCACCGGTGGGCGGCAAGTTGGCGCCCTCCATCGCAGCCGTCATGTTTACCCCACTGTTCAGAGGCCGCGCCAGCAGCCTCTGCTAAAGCGGCAGGCACCAGCGCCGCCATCAAGCTCGGCGCCGCCTTCGGCGAGGGGACGAGGGAACCAAGCCTTGGGCCCCCCCGTGGCTTCACCCAAAATGGCTTGAGCCAAAATGGCTACGGGGGAGGAGGAGGAAGAGGAGGAGGAGGAGGAGGAATGCGAGCTCGAGGAGGATGAACATTGCGAGGAGGAGGAAGAGGAGGAGGAGGAGGAGGAGGAGGAGGAGGAGGCTGGTACAGGAGCAGGAGCAGGAGAAGGAGCAGGAACACTGCGAAGAGGAGCAGGACGCGGAACACGAGGAGGAATTCGAGGAATACTAGGAGGAGCTCGGCGAGCAGGAGGAGGAACAGGAGGAGGAATAAGAGCAGGACGACAGCGATGAGGTAGAGGATGAGGAGGGGGTAAAGAATGAGGAGGAAACCGTCGAGGGTTCGCATGAGGAGGGGACGAAGGAGGAGTCAGATGAGGAGGTAAGGAAGTATGCATGGGATGGGATGGGTGCGGCCCCAAGGAGGGCAAGGCGGCGAGCCGCCTCAGAACAGAAAGCCCGTGGCGACGAGGGCAACCCCGGGACACCACGACGGCCAGACCTGCCGCCTGCTGCCTGAGACCCGCAGAGAGCTCGGGGCAAAGCCCACCACCCGCCCAGGCCTGGGGGCGAGGCCGCAAGGAAGCCCCACGAGCCCGAGAGGCGCCCGCCACTGGCCACGCGGGACCCACGACCGCCAGCGTCCCGAGCCCCGCCCGAGGTCGCGCCCGCCCGGCCCTCACCACACGACGCTCGCGGCGTGCGGAGCTCGGCCTCACCGCAGCGCGGCCCTCAGCGCTCGTCGGAGACGGCGCCGAAGAGGCCCTTCACGAGCACGGCCACGGGCCCCAACCCGCGTCGACCGTGCCGGAGAAGTGTTCCTACATGTCCTGGCGGGCGCATTTGCGAAGGACCTCCGCCGACGGCCGCCCCAGCAGCCTCCAGCGCGCTGAGGAGGGTCGACGCCGCCGTCGCTGCCCGCAGCACCGTCCAAGGACCGCCCTGCCACGCCGCACCCCCTCTTGGCGGCGAGCGAAGGGGGGAAATGAGGAGGAGAAGGCCCTCTCAGAAGCCGGCGGGACTTCTCAGAAACTCTCGCGCCTTCTGAGAAATTTGCTCTGTCTTCGGGGGAGGCTGAGAACACTTCTCAGAAGGCCGTCTCGTCGTCCACGGACTCCTGTAGACGTCCTCGCGGCCGCCATCTTTGCCTCGTAGGCGTCGTCGCCGTCCACCGCCAGCGCCGCAGTTACGACAGTGACCGTCTTGCCGCACTCCTGGGCCTCTTCGTCGTCCACGGCCCCGTTAGACGTCCGCACTGTCTTCTGCAGCTCCTCGTCGGCGTCGACGCCATCCGCGGCCTCCGCCGTCACGCTAGTGACCACCAGGCCGCACTCCTGAGCCTCCACGTCGTCAACGGCCTCCGTAGGCGCCTTCGCGGCGCTCTCGAGCTCCAGCATATGTTCCCGTTCGCGCTGCCCTCCACGAACTGTGCCCTCTCGTCGATCGCCTCGGTCCCGACGTTCAGCAACTTGGCGCTGCCCTCGGCGTGTGGCGCCTCCGGCAGCCCCGCCAACTTGGGGAACACCAGAACGGCGGGGAGCGCCGGCTTGTCCTCCACGGCCGAGCCCACGACTGGCGAGATGTTTACGACCTGCGGCTCGTCGCTTCCGGCGTCCCCAGGATCGCCTCCAGCTCCCCGAACAGCGCCACCGAGACCGCCACATGGGCCGCCTCCATCGTCCCCAGGATCGCCTCCAGCGTGCACGTGGGCCGCCTCCATCGTCCCCAAGATCGCCGTCCGAAGACCACCTCCCCGACGATCGCCTCCACTTTGATCGCCTCCAGCGTCCCGAAGATTGCCTTCCGCCTACATTGAAGACCGCCTCCCACGACGATCTCTTCCAGCGACTCGCAGAGCTGCTACAGCTTCGTCGCCCTGAAGACAGCCCTCGCGACGATCTCCGCCAGCGACTCGTAGCGCTGCTCCAGCGTGACCTCCAGCCTCCTCCTGGTCGTGCTTCGGCTCGGCGGTGAACGCCACGTTGTCCGAACCCTCGACCCCCAGCGGATCTCCGATGAAGTGCTCCGCTCCCATCAAGCTGGCCTTGACGTGGTCCTTCACCAGCAGAGCGGCCAGCAGGCAGGAGTGGACCTCCAGGACGGTATACCTTCTGCACGGAGCACCGCCAGCGGCCCCACGACGAGCACATCCCACCAGTGTCCAGGGCCGTGTTCGCGGCCCAGCCTTGGCTTGCTTCAGACGGGCCAGGAGGATCACGATGAGGAGGACGAAGGGGAAGGAGGAGCGGGATGAAGAGAGGAGGGGGATGGTGAAGAGGAGGTGCAGCAGACGGGAGGAGGGCGAGGGCGAGACGGAGAATGACGCGGATGCATGCGGAGGAGGAGGAGGAGGAGGAGGAGGACGACGACGACGAGGAGGACGAAACGATCGACGACGACGCCGAAGGCGCAGGCGGATAGCAGGAGGACGAGCGAACACTTTGATGAGCCACCTTGACTGAAAAATGCTGTTTGGAGATCTTGGACTCTGGCTTTATGTGCTCCCTAGGCAAAGTGCAACCTGGGTAAGGCAGCGTCCACAGCAGCGAGCAGCAGTGAGGCCGCAGAGGTCGGATCGGCCGGTCATCGCCACGTGGAGAGCTCAGTCTTGCAGGGGCATCCAGATCGCGCAGGATGTGGTGCCACTGCTGCGCCGCCCACCCGTCGCCTGAAAGGCAGACCTGTGCGGAAGCCGAAGGTCTTTGGTGTTGAGTCTTTCAAGCGGCTCGCAAGTGAGCGGCGCAGACAAAAGGGGCCGTCTCCGCCGACATCGGCGCGCAAGCTGCGCGCGTAGGGTCGCGCCGTGAGCGCCCTCTTTTCCACAGTAGCGTGCGCTGGCGGCCCGCATAAGCTGCCGGGTAACGTCGCTGTGTCATCTCACGTACGGTGGCAACCCATGCCAAGACACACCCTGCTTGCCTCCAGGGTGCCCTGCGTTTCTTGGGAACCAGTGGCTTTGCGACGGAAAGCGTGACGTCCCCGCACAAAGCATCCATGGACATCCTGGGGGCCCCAGGGTGGGGCTTCTTGTGCTGAGGTCTCTTCTTGTGGCCCAGCTCCTGCTGTGGGAGCGTCCTCCATCCAGGGCCACGGCGAGGCTCACGCCACCTCCGACCCTCGCTGCCACAAAACAGCCCCTGACGTTGCCAGGACGACGCGGCTAATCGCTGGGGAAAACAGCGCTGGGGAAAACAATTTTTTCAACTGTCTCCCCCAAATCATGTTCTAAACAGTTTTTAGACATTACCAGTCGTTCGAGCTCCGCTTGGCCGTGGCCACGAGAGCCTCCGGGGAGGCCCAGGGAGGCCCTTCTCGGACGGGGCCAGGACGAGGATGAAGCCGTTCCAGAGCGTTCCCGGAACGCTCTCGGAGCGTCCCGGAACGCCCTGGGATGGCATCGGCGCCCGAGATTTCTCCGGAGCCGCCGGATCTCAGAGACTCTCGATGTATTCGGGCCTCCTAGGTGGGGCCCGAGTAGATGGGGTCGGAGGATCGCGCCGCATCGTCGATGCATCCGCGATGCGGCTCGATGTTGAGCCCGATTTTCTCCACGCCGACGTTGCCAGTGCATCGGCGACGTCGCCAGTGCATCGCGGATGCATCGCCGATGTATTGGCAATGCAGCGAGATCCTCCGACCTCATTCAGTGGGACCCCATATAGGAGGCCTGTAATGCATCCTCACCCGAATGCATCCTCGTCCTGGCTTCGTCTTGCTGTAGCTTTGGCTGCGGCGGCGCCCACCAGTGGGGTGGCGCGAAGGGGGCGGCCTTCCAGGTAGGCGTCGGATCATTTAATGATAGGCAGATTTTCCTCCACCACCACTAATGGGCAGGAGAGGGAGGAGGACAAGGAGGAGGTGGAGGAGGAGAAGCGGAGGACCAGGACCTCCCCATCCTCCCTTCTCCCCAGCCCTACCTATGGTATAGCGGTGGTGGAACGTCTGCCCATCTTCTTCGAGGGCATGGAGGCGTCAACAAAATCACGACGGACAGTTCTTCGTGTTTTCGGCCTCCAGGGGTCCTCGCAGGGCCTAGGGCCGTCAAACAACGACTCGGGATGAAGAGCTGGTCCGTACAGAGGAGGCCCATGCCGAGAAACACCCTGCTTGCCTCCAGGGTGATCTGGGCTTCTTGCGTTTCGATGGTTTTGCTGTGGAAAGCGCGACGTTCCCACATCAAAAGTCAATGGACGTCCTGGGGTCTCAGGGCTGGGTTTCTCGTGGAAGGTTTCTTATGGACTGGTTTCCGCTGCATGGACAAAAATCAGGGCGTCGCATGTCCGCCAGGCTTCGATGGCCTGCTTAGAAGCCCACCCCCCTCGCGCCACCCCCTGGTGGGCGCCGCGAGGCATCCAATCGCAGACGTCAGATCCTCGGAGTTTCGGTCTCCGCGCAAGTCCGCCTTTTGGGCCGTGAGTTCCGCTGCGACGCGAGCGCCGCCGGCTCCGCCCCCGGGGGCGCGAGCGTGTTCGGCGCGGCGCGCTGCTGGAGCTGCCTGGCTCCTGCGTAGGCGCAGGTCCACTCGCACACCGCGCGCTCGTGCGCGCAGGGCCTGAGGGTGCAAAGGCAGGCAGCACAGGCGATGACCGATGACCAGCGGGTCTGGTGGGGGGCTGAGGTGGCCCAGCGCCGGTCCCGGCCTGCCAAACGGGGGGGAGCAAGGGGCCCCTTGGCCGCCCTGGCTGGGCGTGGCTCCAAACAACGTGTCAGTTTCGAGAGCATGATCACATGTTTCGACGTTTAACAAGAAGGTTTCAAAACATTGATACTCATTCGAATCCAAATTTGGAAATGTTGCATTATGATCAAACTAATTTGAATTTATACTCGCATGATTATAGCTGTTTTTCTTTTGATGATGAAAGAGACCCCGGGAGGGGCCTGAGGGACAGATTTTGAGCGAGTCTGCCTTCGTCCTCTCCCCCTCTTGACCGATGTTCTCTGGGCCTAGGCGGCTCAGACCCCTCGGCCTCCTCCAAGACCAACGGGCCTGGTACATAGACAAGCAGGAGTTTTCACTGGCAGGAGCACGACCCTGGCACGTAGCATGTTCGCAACGGCCACCCCTCACAGTACAGTGGACATTTTTCGGGGCAGGTCTGCGAGCGTGAGCTGTTGAATCAACTATTAGCACTGAGCTTCGGGCGAATGCCTGCGTTTCTTAGTGCATATCCGTGCGGCTCCAGAGTTGCATCTTCCGACGTACGTGTGCAGACATTGTTTGTTGGACGTTCGGGAAGATATGCAAACAGTTTTGGACGCGAATGTAAGGGCCCCCCCCAAATCTCTGAGGATTGACGAGGGTCACCATGACTCTTCCCCAAAACTCCCCCCTCCCCATCCGTTCCTCCTGTTCTCTCCTACGGGGCATTGTGCAAAGGCCGCCCGATTGCGGCGGAGCGCCCAGCAGGATTGCATAACATCTAGAACACAAGGGTGCCCCTCGCCAGACCCCTTTGGAACCTCCTTGGATGTCTCCAGACCACCTGGACCGCACAGAAGCCCGCAGAGCCTCTTCTTCACCGGCGGTCCGAAAGGCGGGTTAGGGGGAACGGGGGTGTACCCAAACGGCTGCATGCAGTTGGCTTCGGCTCAGGCGCCCCAACAACAAACAGCAACGCCACGTGTAGCTGATTCGCTTACCCTCCCCTTGCCGACCCCTTCTCATCAACCGGAGTCCCCCTCGGCCCTGGGCAGAGTTCCAAAGAGAAGGCCAAGCGCGACGACTCGACGCCGCTAGGAGTCCACGAGCGAGGTCGAGGGGCCGACAGAGCCTCCAGGGACAGACCGGCCCTCCCTCTGCACCCTCCGACGCCGACATGGAGCTGTCTGTCGATGGCCCTGCAGGGCCCGGGCCTGGCGTCTGGCCCAAGACTCGGGGCTCGAGGGATGGCGGTCGATGCAGACGGGGGTCAGTCAGAGCGCCGGATCTTGCATGAAGTCGAGCGTGTTCCTCTACAGGAGGAGAATTCAAAAATAGTAAAAAAATAGTACGGGGACGATTGTTTGATTTATTTCTTAACCATGTTTGGATCTTTTTGGGGATATGTTTGATTTTTCGTCCCACATCCGCCTGTAGGGGGACATGCCCCACCGAATCTCTTCAGGATCCTGCAGGGCCAGGGGCACACTGACCTGGGCTTGGGCGCAGGATCCTGCAGGATCCTGCAGGATCTTGCAGGGCCTGACTGACCCAGCCCGAGGACTTTTGGGGACTTTTTGGGACTTCGCAGCCCGACGAGGAGGAGGACCAGGAGGAGGAGGAGGAGGAGGAGGAGGAGGAGGACCAGGAGGAGGAGGACCAGGAGCAGGAGGACCAGGAGCAGGAGGACCAGGAGGAGGAGGAGGAGGCGGAGGAGGAGGAGGAGGAGGAGGAGGAGAAGATTCCCGGAAGATCCGGACCAGCGACCGCCGCGCGGTTATGTGACGTTGCAGGTGTTGCCGCTTCCTGGGGGCGCCTCCTGGCCATGGCTTTCGGGGCGGGCCCGGCCGTGGCGACGAGGAGCCGACCGAACACTTCGACGCACGCAGCCTCGAGCCTCGAGCCTCAAATTCTGCTCGCGGTCGGGGGGTGGACAGACCTCCTACCCTGACACGTCGATTAGCGAATCGGCCGTTTTCGGTTCGCGAGAGGGCGTCGCTGCCGTCGTTTCTGCGGGTCCAGGTCCGTCGTTTTCGGTCCCAGGCCGTTTTCATTAAGGGGAGGTTCACTAGAGGGAGGTTTGTCCACCGCCGACCAGAGGCCAGGCGCCGACCGAAAACTTCGACGCACGCAGCCTGGAGCCTCGAGCCTCGAGCCTCAAATTCTGCTCGCGATCGGTGCTGCAAAGATGGCGTGCAATCGGGCGCCGCCTGCCAGCTTCTTGCACGCTTTTTCCAACATTGAGGGATGGCGTGCACTGAGGAGGCCCTGGCAGGGGAGTAGCGGCATCGAGAATCCAAAGAACCCTTAACCCTAATAACACGATGAAGATGTGGCTTCATTTAGGTCCCTGTCTTCGCATCAGGAATAATACATGTGGGCGGTTTGGTCGGATACATCTGCAGAAAAGACCCCCTATCCCTAATGTTTCTGGCCGTCGTACCTTGGGCCCCCTCTCAAAGGGTTAGGGGTATTGCGAAGGCCTTACGGCCAGTGCCGCCGACCCTGAAGGGGGACGTCGACGACGACGGCGGTGGGGGCACTCTTGGCTTGTTTTGGTACTTTTTGCACCCCCGGGACCGCCAGGGGGGATGCGTATCTGAACCCCCCCCATGGCCCCCCCCCCGACGAGGAGGGATCAAAGGGAAGGGGCTTCCCTTCGATTCGATTGCGACATTGCGAGGTTCTCTCTGGCTGACAGGCTTGAGGAGGGTGCATGGACAGGGGACGACGCAGACGAGGACTGACGGAGACGACGACTCGAACAGACAAACCCCTCGCACACGCCGACAGGCTCGGCGGATTCTTGGTTCATCATAGTTTGAACCGACGAGGCCCTCGCAGGGGGATCGCGTGCGCAGCAGGGGGGACCGCGTTTTGGGATCACCGCACAGGAACAGCGTGCTCTTTGGAGATCGATTGTGCACGCTATCTTTGCAACGCCAGCCGTTAGGTGGAGGACAGACTTTGGACGACCTCTGAGCTTGATTGCAGTAGGTTCGCGCGGCGTTGGCGCGCTGGCGACACCAGCGAATGCTTTCAAGCTCGAATTCTGCGACGCGGAAGCACAGAGGGACACGGCAATGCCGCTGGACCCGACGGAGTTCAATCTTGAACGATCGGGGCCGCGATCGATTCGAGGTTGTACGATCGACGCGGTGTCAACAACCTCTGCGCGCGCCGACGCCCGCACGAGCTTGCCGTGTCGTGCCCGTGCGGGCCGCCACCCGCGCGCGACTGCAGGGCGTCGCCCTCCACCTGAGCTGCGACTGGCTGCTCAGGAACTGGCAGGTGCGCTCGCAGGCCCGCTCGGAGGAGACCCCGCGCCCCTCCGCCTCGATGTCGAGGGGGTCGAGGTCCCAGGATTAAGTCGGGCCTGTCGGGCCTGTCCCTCCACAGGAGGGATATTTAGACATAGTAGAACATTATAGCCGGAGCGCACTATCCCCAAACAGGGTTTTTAAACCCACTGCAGTTTCCAAGGACGATTGCGTGCCCGTGCGGGCTGGCATGGCATGTTAGAACATGATTACATGATGACATGAGATGTTTACACGAAAGTTTGTGTGACGCATGCCTATCAGGAAGCTAACGCTAGAGGGTGTCGTACTCTCTTGCACCTGGTCGACGAGTAAGCTGTCGGGTCGGCACTGTCAGAGGCTCAGTTTTGGCGACATTTTGGAGCTCAGCATTGGAAGGATGTCTCAAACGAAACGGGCCGGACAACCTCTCGCACACGTTCTGACAAGTCCACGTCACACTCGCTTTCTGTTAGGTCCTCTCCTTCGGAGTCGCCGAACCCTCCCCCAGGGTGCACAGGAACATCCAACAAGCACGAAGAACCCTAGGGTGCCCCCCCCAAACCGACCTCGATCCGACCTCCTACCTCGCTCCGACGACCGGCCCGCCGCTCGTGAGTCCCGCCGCTGCTAGACCTCCTACCCTGACACGTCGATTGAGGAATCAGCCGTTTTCGGTTCGCGAGAGGGCGTCGCGGCCGTCATTTTTGCGGGTCCAGGTCCATCGGTTTCGGTCCCAGGCCGTTATCACTAAGGGGAGGTTTACTAGAGGGAGGCTTGTCCACCGCCGAACGTCGCCGTCGGTCGCCCGGGGGGCCGAGGCCGTCGGGAGCGGCCAGGGTCTCTTGCGCGCCGGCGCCTGTCGGCAGGGTCGGCTCCTCGAGCCCAGCGGTCGTGGGGGCCTGCCACGTGTCGCGCAGCACAGTGTCCTCGTCAGCGGGGGGGAGGCGGCGGAGGGGGAGGGGGAGGGGGAGGAGGAG